CGCCCCGGGGATTGGTTCACGTCAATCGACCTGAAAGACGCATACTTCCACATACCAGTAGTTCCAAACCACCGGAAGTTTCTGCGTCTTTCGTTCAAGGGAGTTCAATATTAGTTCAATCGCCTCCCTTTCGGCTACTCGCTAGCCCCGCGCACTTTCTCCAAATGTCTGGAGACCGCGCTGCAGCCACTGCGCACGGAGGGAATGAGGGTCTTATTTTACCTGGACGATCTTCTCCTGTGCGCTCGGTCCGAGGACGAGGCGTCACAGCAAACCAGGAGGTTGACAGGGCATCTGTCAACCCTAGGGTTTTCTATAAACTGGGAAAAGAGCTCCATCCTTCCATCCCAGTCGATTGTGTATCTCGGGGTGGAGTTGGACGCCTCCCTGATGAGAGCACGTTTGTCGCCTGCAAGAGGCAGATCTCTCCACGGTGATCTCCCGTGTTCAACCCCGCAAGATCGTGAGAGCCCGGTTAGTCATGAAACTCCTGGGCATGATGTCCGCAGCCCATTCAGTAGTGCCGCTAGGTTTGCTGCGCACGAGGCGCTTGCAACGCTGGTTCGTCCGCCTCCGGGTACACCCAATACGTCAGAAGAGACGTATGTTGAGGATTCCCCCTTCAGTGGGCGGGGACCTCGCTCACTGGGGGAACCCCTGCATCCTCTCACGCGGGGTTCCCATCGGATGTCCTGCGTCACACGTATCTGTGTTTACGGATGCGTCACTGTCGGGGTGGGGGGGCACGTGCTTGTCCCACACGGTGGCAGATCGCTGGCCCTCCCACACGCACGAGCACATAAATGTGTTGGAGCTTATGACAGTGAGGAATGTGATCAGACACTTCGCTGCCCTTCTCGAGGGCCGTCATGTCGAAGTTCACACAGACAACCGGGTAGCGGCAGCCTACATAAATCGCCAAGGGGGAGTTCGATCCCTCCCACTGTTGCGTGTCGCCACAGATTTACTGTGTTGGACACATGTCCACCTGCTGTCCATCAGAGCCATCTACATTCCGGGGGTACTGAATGTAGCGGCAGACATCCTGTCGAGAGGGGGACCCCGCGACTCCGACTGGCGTCTACATCCTGCACTGATATCACAGATCTGGATCAGGTTCGGGGAACCGTCTGTGGATCTGTTCGCGGCTCGCGAAAATGCTCAGTGTCGCCTGTGGTTTTCCCTGAGTCCCCGGGACGGACCCCCGCTCGGGGCGGACGCCTTCTCACACCAGCCCTGGCCTCGAACGCTCCTTTACGCGTTTCCACCAGTCCCTCTGATTCCCCGTCTCCTGGACCGAATTCGGTCGGAACAGCTCTCGGTGATTCTGGTGGCTCCCAGGCGCGTGTCCGCGTCATGGTTTCCGGAACTGCAAGCGCTAGTGTCCGGCTCCCCGTGGAGGCTCCCGTGGAGGGCGGACGCCCTTCTCCAGGCGGATGGGATAATCAAACATCCTCCGGAAATAGGCCAACGGCTGTGGTTCTGGCCGCTGAGCGGCCACCCTTAGAGGCTTCTGGGCTGCCGCATGATGTGGTGGCCACGATTCAGAGTGCGCGGGCGCCCTCTACCATTGCCTCTTACGCTGCTAAATGGGCAGCTTTCCAGAACTGGTGCGCAGAACGGAATGTTCAAGCGCTCTCCTGCCAGCTGGCGGATGTCCTATCGTTTTTGCAGATACTGATGGACAGGGGCCTCGCATTCAGCACTGTTAAGACATATGCTGCAGCTATCTCATCATGTCATCAGGGTTTTGGAGATAGATCTGTTTTCAATCATCCCCTCACAAAACGTTTTCTAAAAGGTGTCAGAAGGAACAGACCTGTGTCCCGCCCGCTTTTTCCCCAATGGGATCTAACGGTGGTCCTGCACGGCTTATCTGAAGCTCCATTTGAACCCTTGGACCAGGTCCCACTCAAGTTCCTGTCGCTTAAAACTGCATTGCTGCTGGCGCTAGCATCAGTTAAGAGAGTGAGTGACCTAACCGCCCTCTCAGTGGCTCCCGCATGCCTCAGGATCCGGGAGGATGGCGGGTCTGCTGTTTTATGCCCCAGCCCAGCCTTTGTGCCCAAAAGCATTAATGCTTCCTTCAAATCCAGGTCAATTTCATTGGCTGGACTTTTTCCTCCTCCCCATAATTCTGAGGAGGAGGCGGCTTCTCACCTTCTCTGCCCGGTGCGCGCGCTTGCACGATATGTGTCACGCACTTCAGGGATTCGTCGCTCACAAAACCTGTTTGTGCACTACAGGGAGTCTTCCCTTGGTCAGGCGCTGTCGGCCCAGCGCCTTTCACGCTGGCTGTGTGACGCCATTTCCCTCGCTTACACATCATCAGGGCGGGATCCCCCTGAGGCACTCAGGGCTCACTCGGCCAGAGGGATTTCCTCTTCGATGGCGCTCCTCAGTGGTGTGTCAATGGAAGACATTTGTCAGGCTGCTTCATGGGCTTCACCCTGTTCCTTTACTCGTTATTATTTACGAGATGTGTCTTCAGGTTCCATCACTCGTTCAGTGCTTGGACCCCAGCAGGCTAAATGAATGCTTATGGCACCTCATTGGCCTTGCTGAGATGGATTTTATGCTCTTGTGGATGATGTTTTTTAGTGGGGGCCCCTCTCTTATCGTGCCTGCCTCAGTCTTTAGGCCTGGTCTGAGGCTGAACGTCCCCCACTAGAGGAGATTTGATTGGGTGTGTCCATTGGTTGTGTTAACCAGTGGGGCGTAAACCCATCCAGCTGCGCTTTATTCCAATAGCAGCTAGCTTAAGGGCTAAGACTAGACGAAATAGAACGTTGGTTACGTATTGTAACCCCAGATTCTATGAGTCTAGTCGCAGCCCTTAAGCCACTGGCCCCACTGGTTATGATGGGAATAAGAGCCATTGGAGGTGAGCAGTGGGGTCACTGCGGTTATATACCACGAGGGGGCCCACTATTGGTGGGCGTACATTTAAGCTCTTCATGATTGGCTGATGCGGAGATCATCCTTCCAATAGCAGCTAGCTTAAGGGCTGCGACTAGACTCATAGAATCTGGGGTTACAATACGTAACCAACGTTCTTTCACTTAAAAAGGTGACAGGGACCTGTAATAGTCATCATAGGTGTACCTCAATGAATAAAATCAAATCCAGAAAATCACATCGTCTGATTTTAAAGAATTTGCAACTTATGGTGGAAAATAAGTATTTGGTCTCCTACAAACAGGCTATATTTCTGCCTCTCACAGACCTGTATCTTCTTCAGTAAGAGGCTCCTCTGTCCTCCACTCATTACCTGTATTAGTTGGAATTTGTTATCAGTATAAAAGACAACAGGCACACTAAACTCTCCAATGGCCTAGATCAAAGAGCTGTCTGTCATGTTGGGCTGTAATTGTTTGACCCGCGACAAGAATCACCACTCGAGGCAAAAGGTAAAAAAATGATTTATTTTGACTTGTTGAGGTGTGGCCGAAGGTCTGAGATTGGGACGGTCCAATAGAATTCTGCAGCAGAAACAAGGATGAGTAGTTTGCAGATAAATGAGGATAATGTGCAGAGAGGGGGGCTTATAGTTTCCTGAATGTCTTGGAGCTGGAGAGGAGGGTGAGTCAGGTCTGGCTGAGTGAGGCATCCTTGAGATGACAATGATGGCTGGAAGCTGAGCACAGGAGTCCAAAGGTGTCCAGGCTGGCAGGTGGGCATTGGAGAGCGGGCGGTCAGGGTGAGCAGCGTGGCTGGCAGGCAGGGCTGATCCGGGAGTCTCTTCCATGAGAGGTAGAGTAGTTTAGTGGACGAGAGGTACCTGAGGGAGCCAGCGGACAAGCAGCTGAGTACAGGTTGCAGGAAACTCCAGAGACAAACAAGACTGAAACAGGCAGAGCACAGGTTAGATACTACCCAATACTGAGTAATCATCTGGCACTGGTGAGTTGTCACGCCGCTCCTTAAATCCCCTGACGCTGATGAGGAGCTTAGCAGCAGCTGCTCTCCAGGACTCGCCCACCTGCAGACAGAAAGACTCAGCTCCAAACAGAGGTTAACTAAGCACAGACTGACACTGTCAAAGGACACCAGACTGGGAAGACTGAATCTGCTATAGGTAAGGAGCTTGGTGTGAAGAAACCAACTGTTGGAGCAATTATTGGAAAGTGGAAGACATACAAGACCACTGATAATCTCCCTCAGTCAGGGGTTCCATGCAAGATCTCACCTCGTGGGGTCAAAATGATCGCAAGAATAGTGAGCAAAAATCTTAGAACTACACGAGGGGGACCTAGTGAATGACCTGCGGAGAGCTGGGACCAAAGTCACAACGGCTACCATTAGTGACACACTACGCCGCCAGGGACTGTAAACCTGCAGTGCCAGATGTGTCCTCCCTGCTGTGCATGTGCAACCGAGACATCACTGCTCTAGAGGGGATCCGCATGGGGGAATGGGCTAAAATACCAGCAACAGTGTGTGAAAGCCTTGTGAAGACTTGCAGAAACATTTGACCTGATGGAAATTACAGGCCTCTCATCCTCTTAAGTGGGAGAACTTGCACAATTGGTGGCTGACTAAATACTTTTTTGCCCCACTGTACGTGTGCACAGTTGGAAGTACTATTGGCCTCCCAGGAAGAAGCATGCTGGTCCAAATCCCAGCTATGGTTTTCCTGCATGGACTTTGCATATTCTCCCCACGCATTTGTGGTTTCTTCCAGGTGTTCTCCAAACATTCTAAAACGTGCAGCATATAATCGATCATTATCAGGAAATCTAATGTTTCCCTAGATGTGAGTGTGTGACTGGTTGCCTGTGTGTGTCCCTCGCGCGTCACCCTGAATGTGCTGGTCACCCAGTGACAACTGGAGACACACACCATCTCCCAGCGACTGTATTTAGGAAAAAGCAGTTATGAAATTGAATGATTTTAAATTCCTATATTATTGGACATTATTGCAAATTAAAGCATATTAATACAAGTTAATTGTAACATCAGATATCATTGACATCATGAAGATCTAGACCAGCACTTCATCTCAATGAGTTTATTCCAAAAAAAAAAAAAAAAGACAGTTTCCACAATGATCCCCCACACAGTTTATCTGTGTTGGTATATTTACAGTACATCAGGTAGAATCCTAAAAATAACACAGTGTTTTCTCCCTTTTAACAGTCAGTAACTCGCATCATCCATCAGCTCCTTGTCACAGGGTAGATAAAAGAACATTTGGATGAGCAGGTGTTGTTTATAGGGTGTTTGATTATTTTATTTATGCCACACAAACATCATCTTCCTACCTTGAGCTATATCCAATATTCAGGCTTCAGTCACTTTGGGAATCTTGCCTTCATTGTTAGGTAATTTAATTTATGTGCATTACAGAAAGTCCAATGTCACACCGGAGACAAACCAGGACAGAACACAACAGAGGTTCGTCCTACCTTCCAGCGTCTGTGAGGGACAGATGGTATTGATTATTGAGTTGAAGACTACTTTTCCTCCTCTTTTACAGATGCTTATAATTCAGTGGAGGTGATTTTTAGACATCATGTCTGTGACATTTCTCTATCTTTTAACATTGTGATCTGTAAATTATTGCTTTAATTAGACAGTCAGTAAATATCAGCGACTTCTCAGCTCTCTCAACAAACACTAAAACACACAGATTAAAGTGTGCATTACTCTACAACACACATCTATGTTTATATATATCTAATTCCTCATTAACAAGTGACGATACAAAAAGATTTATTGTGAGAATGACATTCAGTTGATACCGATCAGGTTTTGAATTGTCGCCTAAGTCATAGTGCTGCATATAAATCTGCTTTTTCAATGCACTAATTGCCAATATCATTAAGTTTAGAGGAGCCACCATCACCAGAACAGTGAATCTTTCATTGCATCAATTTGTTCCGGAGGATATCCCCGCTTTGAACAGGGCTTTGTCTCTGTGTCAGCGCCTATAGGGACCAGATTGGCCGTGTTGAATGAGAATCCTCCGGACCAGTTGGCATGCAGTCTATAGGCTCGTCTTCTCGCCCTTTCACTTGTTGGTTCTCCGCTCACATATCTGAAGATAGCAGCTCTTCCGTGGCTCTTGGAGACGCATTGTGACAGGGGACGAGGGGAAGGGCTGCCAAACAGATCTGAAGATGAGCTAAGAGAAATTTCCAAAGGAGGCTGTGGAGAGAAGAAAGAGGAAGAAAGAAAGAGAGGATTAACAAGACTCTCTAAGAAAAGTTTTAACTCTTTAAACACTGCAAACATGAAATAATAGTAAGAAAATAGCATATTGAAGATTTGAATAATAATTATAAAATACACATTTTCATAAAATTGGCACTTTCTCCTTGTAGTACAGAGATACTCCACTAGAGGGTGGTCTGTGTGCTTGTCCCTGTCATCTACAGCAAGGATAGTCATGGTATTTTTAGGAATGTACTAATTTTGTTAAAGAGGTCAAGGCTTTAAAATGTAGTCTACATGTTTAGAATTTTAGGGTTGGGTGCAGAAACTGGTTGTTCTTGTTTTGTGCTGGTTTTATGGTCTGAATTACATTTCTCTCACGCGGTGTGGTCTGTTTTAGTCCCAAAGACTTGTCTGCCTCTGCTGCAATGGAACAAAGCCTCCCGAAATCTCATAGACAAGGCTCTGGAGATGCCTGGAAATCAAGAGCTCAAAAACAGTAATTGCATAGTTTATCTTCCATTGTGTTAGCGCTGTAGATGGAGACAGAGGAACAAATCCTATAGCAGTAGAAATCTAAATCACAGTCAAGTTTAAAAATGAAATTAAGTTTCAAAGAAATAAAGCAGACAATGCTATAAATAAAAAATATATAAATGCATAGATTATTAATGCATAGATATATTTACGTTTGGGTTTCATTTTTAAAATGACCATGTTTACTACGTAGGTGCAGCTGCACATTTCCAGTTAATTATTTGAATCAAACTGTGTCCCCGTATGCTATTACCTAAATGCAGCAATGTGCTTTGCTTGGTTTGGTTTTTCAGCAATTTTTTCTTTGTCTTTTGCCTCAAACGACTGAAGCGGGGCACACATTCTCTCCTGAAAGCCAAGAAAGCGGCACCACCTTTTACAGATTGATACAATGTGGCATTGGGGCACCGTTAAACCAGGAGGCAGTAAAGGGACAAACTGATGAGCCCGACTGGAGCTGTGTGACTACAGGTCTGCAGAGATGCCTCACTGATAAAATCTCATTTAAATAAGCTTCTTCGGAGCCCGTAGGTGCATTAGAAGAAAGGAGGGCAAAAAAGGAGAAATAAACAACAAGCTGGAGGAATGTGTTTTGAGAAATGACATGTTCTATTTCTTCATGCTCATTTATGCTTATAGGTTCATTTATGTTCTACATTGGCTTGAATGAAGCATCTCAGAAGAGGTGGTGAGGTAAAGGGTTGCCAAGACAGACTCCCACAGCAATCAAAGCACCACATGTGGACCACAAACAACACATGGCCTCATGTTTCAGGAGAAAAGGGACACCAGGTTTTATACAGACTCCTTTCATTAACTTTTTGATTAGCTAAGAGGACAGATGGTTTATCTCAAAACCACAAACTGAGAGGAGGAAATGTGATGTGTTGGTGTGGAAATGGTATGAACTATTTAAAGATAAACCACGTTTGATGTGAATCCTCACTCCTCCAGACTTTTCAGATGTTACAAATCTTACATGTTTCTCTGTCTTCCCTTAGAGAGCTGTAGCTCTGGGCTATGGAAGCCGCCAGCCTCACCTATCACTGAAATAAAAGAGCCCAGCCCTCTGAAATACAGAGTCTAAAAATAAAAATACAATATTAATGCATACAAAAAGAAAAGGGCAAAGGCTTTCTGAATCAATGACTGGGTAATCTACAAAGGAAGATAAACATGAGTATCCTGGAGTTTGAGCTGTGTGTGTGCGCATGTGTGTGTGCATTGAACTGAGCTTACACTCACTCTTTCATGTTGGTGAATGTCGAGAAATCCAAAGTATTTTTTTAAGTAGTTTTTTTAGTGATGCACCGATATGAAAATTTTGGGCCGATACCGATATTAAGATCACTGTTATGGCCCATAACCGATATTTGCAGATACCGATATGCTGACATTAATGCTTCTAAAAACAGCAGATTTTGTATAGAATGAAAATTATTAAAGCTGAAATTATGTTGTTATGTAAACACAACACACATATTTACGGTTCTGAGATGATTTCATTCACTGTTCACATGACTAAACAATTACACATTACCCCCCTCACACTGTGTAACAGGCAAACAAACAGAGACAAGATGGAAAAAATATCGGTTGTTAATATCGGCCCGGTCAGCCGATGACAATGTTGATGCCGATATATTGTCCATCCCCAGTTTTTTTTTTCTTATTGATGGTTCTAAAACTTGAAGCTTTTTAATGAAAATGTCATGTTCTGTGTCCCTTTGGTCCCCAGCCCTCTCCTGTTTTTCCTCTGCGTTCCCCTCATGTGTCCCCTTGTGCTCTGTGTGTCCTTATGCTTCCCCAGCCCACTCCAGGTTCTCCTCATGTGTCTTCTTGTGCTCCCCAGCTCTCCCTAGGCTTCCCTCATTTCCTCCTAGTCACTCCCTTGTAGTTCCTATTGGTTTGTATTAGTCCTCCTCACCCCTCTAGTCATTAGTTGTTTAGCTTTGCCCGTAGTCTTTAGGTTTAGTTATTTAGTGTTTTATAGGTTATGGTTTATCTCCCCTCTGCTTGTTCTTTCCCCATTTAGTTTATTGATGGCACCTGTCTTCCCTCTAAACCTCACCTCTGTGTTTAAAAATCCTGTCTTGTCCCTCAGTGTTTGTTGGTCCATTGTGTGTGTCTGCGTTGTTCTGTCTCTCTCGAGTTTCTCCGAGTTCATGCTCATGAGTGAGCTTTTGTTTTGTTTTGAGCGTTAGAATGTTTTGAGAGTAAGTCTGTTTTTTTTTGTGCCTTGGACTTTTGGCGCATCCTCCTTTAAATAAAGGAATTATTTTCTTAAACCACTCATGCCTCGAGTCGTTCTGGGAATTCTGCATCTTGGGTCCAAACCTCCTGCTTTCATCGTGACAGAAAATAAAAACAACAGAAAAATAATGCTTTTGACCCAAATAGTCAAAACAAGAACATGTAAAAGGAGAAGGCTGCCTTATAATCCCAACAACTGCTTTTTAATTGACTACCTAACACTTATTTGGCCGTAAACAGGTCAATTACGATTCTCATTAAGGAACTCAGACTAAGAAAAAGATGAAGTAGAAGAAACTATATTTTATATTGTGCCTCTCATGATAAAAATCACGAGGCACTTCACAAGAACAAAAATTAAAAGATAAAAAAATATAAATAAATCATTTGAAAATATGAAAGTAAAAAAGGGTACAAGAAAATTTCATAAAAAAGAAAATGGATAATAAGAAACTTTCATGTGACAATAATAAAATCAAATGTTTTTCTCCTTAGCACCTCATCAGACAACCAAAGACACCAGGAGAAGGTTCTAAAAAAGTTAACGTGATTCTGTTCAACCTTAGTTACATGGGATGCCATCTATACTGGTGCACAACACTTAGCCTTGATATAATAAGTTATTCATTTTTATTTTTTATTCAATTCCCATAGCATCCTTGTAACTTACTAATAGATGACTTTGGACAGCTTGATTAATAAGCTCTGCCATTCTTGCAGAGCAAATGCGACACAAAAGAACAGTTGAGTCTAATTGTGCCAAATGTTGGTCCATTTATTATTGTAGTTGTCAAATTGTGCAGAAATCTACTATTTACTGGCCAAACATCCGTAAAGCAGTGAGAAGAAACTAATAATCTCTACTCTCTGTAAATCTCTTCAAGCCCCTTTAACCAGATTGTTTTTGTTTGCCTCTCTTGTGTGAAGAGACTTGTCCTCATAGCTGTTTGCTTAATCTAAAATGATAGTTCAGTTGTTTGAACAACTGAGCCTGTTGTAAACACAAACAGGGAATGCGAATAAGAGCTGGATCAGCATGAATTAAAACTCAACGTCCTCTAAAGTACCTCCTCGCCCGGTTCCTATCTTTTAAATTCTGCAACCAGTTTCATCCCCAGCTGTCTCCTGTTCTTTTGTTAGAATATTTAAATTTCTAACAAAAATTTCTCAAACATTAAACAGTTCTTTTCTTGTGCATCCCAACTGGATTTAGTTTACTTTTTCTCACTAATCTAATGTCAGCTTCATTTTTATCTAAGCCCAACAGGTGGCGAGCCGCCATTCTGAAGTTGCAAAAGAGGTGTTCAGGCCACAGAGGGTGGGGGTCTAAGTGACATTTCATTAACCTTGTAAAGGGTCATTTTAGCACACACTGGCTGAAGGAAATTATTTAAAAACATGAAAATGTTGCATAATATGGCTTTAAGGCCGCTGTAATTTGGTGAAATGAAGTACCTATCCTCAAGGCAAATGCCACTGTAGTGTTTACCGCCTTCAGTCTGACAACAACGAGATAACACCGGATGAGTCTTAGAGGCGTCTGGCCTGTGTTTTACATTTAGCTTAAGTCTTAAAAATTACAAATATCATCTTGTCTTTAGTATAGCAAAATATAAAGATTCATCTTCCCGTATTGTGATATACACTGCCTGGCAAAAAAAAAAAAAAAAAAAAAGAAAGTTGCCACCTGTATTTAACTAAACTAATTATATACGAGCCTCCTATTGGATAATTACTGCATGGGTGGTTATCTTTCAGCTGCAACAAGTTTTTTAACCCCAACTGGTGCAATGAGATTCTTCTCGCTTCCTAAACAACCATGTGGAAAGACACATCTGGTGGTCGTGGAAAAGATGTTAGTCTGTTTGAGAAGGGTCAGATCATTGGATTCAAGCGACACAAACATCTAAGGAGATTACAGAAACAATAAAAATTGGGTTAAGAACTGTCCAGCGCATTATTAATAACTGGTCTGATGAGTCCAGATGGACCCTGTTCCAGAGTGATGGGTGCATCAGGGTAAGAAGAGAGGCAGATGACGTGATGCACCCACCATGCTTAGTGCCTACTGTACACGCCTGTGGGGGTAGTGTTATGATGTGGGGTTGCTGCTGTCGGTCAGGTCTAGGTTCAGCAACAGGATGTGCTCCAAGAATGTCAGCTGACTACCTGAATATACTGAATGACCAGGTTATTCCATCTTCCCTGATGGCACGGGCACATTCCAAGATGACAATACCAGGACTCATCAGACTCAGATAGTGAAAGAGTGGTTCAGGGAGCATGAGAAATCATTTTCACGCATCGTTTTGTCACCACAGAGTCCAGACCTTAACCCCATCGAGAATCTTTGGGACGTGCAGGAGAAGGCTTTGTGCAGCGGTCAGACTCTACCGTCATTAGTGCAAGATCTTGGATCTTGGTGAAACTTTAATGCAACACTGGATGGAAATAAATCTTGTGATATTGCAGAAGCTTACTGAAACAATGCCACAGTGAATGTGTGTTGAATCAAAGCTAAAGGCGGTCCAACAAAATATAGTGGGTGACCTTTCTTTGGTGGCAACGGTTTATTTATTCTTTTGGTCAGGCAGCGAAGTTTGTATCACCAGGTTTGTGCCAGTACACATCTGTACTGTACCCTAATTAAAATATTTGTAATAGGACGAGTGTTTTGCTGTCTTCTGTTATTTGGCATCATAACAATCTATGGGTGTCAAAAAGAGTTGGGGACTGTGTTTAATGCTTGTGAAAATGTAATAATCACTGAAGAGATCTTTTCACACCTTCACTCTTGGTAATGCTGTCATGGCTAAGATCAGACACAAACTCGCATGAGATTTCAGCAGCATCTCTGTGTTTTCATCCTCTTCAAAAATGTATTATAGGATCATTATTCAATTTTTGGTAAATGAGTTGGAGATGCATCAGTCCTGGCAGGTGGTGTGACGGCTCCACTTAATCACTGCAGAACAACAAGCATATTACAAGAATTGTTCAGGTAGAAAAGTTGATGGTGTGTGTGTGTGTGTGTGTGTGTGTGTGTGTGTGTGTGTGTGTGTGTGTGCGTGCGTGCGTGTGCATGAGCCAAAGTTTGTGTCCAAAGCTTCTCTTCTTGCTCTTATCTTTAAATTTTACAATGACTGAGCTTCTTCACACTATTCAACACAGACGCCGTTAAAAATATCCTCTTCTTTTCTGCTACCTGACACATAATCCTGCTCCTGCTACACCATTTCATATTTTTCCAGTCAGTCTCACACTGTGCTAACATGGTGAGTGATTTGTAGTGATGGAGTTTTTTATGCAGTTTATTTTCTTTAGAGATACAAAGAATTAAACTTTGTGAATATCTGAAACATCCAAAGTAACATAACTTGTTTATGACTTGCATTATGTGTCATTATATCCTATAAATATTATGACAGTGTTGTAAATAGTTTACTTTCAGCCCAGATTTGCACTTTTACATTGACTCATTACCTCTTCACCACCTCTTCAACCTCTCTCTTAAAACTGAAGCATCAACATTTTCTAGCACTTCTCACCTTCATCTCCTCCCAATTTCCCCCATTCCTTAGAAAACCAGGTGTTATGAGGCCACCTCATTAGCCTGCCCTTCTAAATTAAGAGTCAAAGCCTCATGAACTGGGAAATTACGTCTGCTGTGCCCAACTAATGGAAATGTCCAACAGCTATTTAATTCTCTCTCATTATCTGTCGGTCGCTTCGCATCCTTGAGTTTAGCTCAGTTCCATGATCTTGATTAATCTGAAGGTCATTAAAAACTCTACTTTTTGTTGAGTGTTGCAGTAGTTAAAAGCATAAACGCATCAACTCAATTGAACCGACCTGATATGAGTACATTTTGACTGGTAATAATAAATATTAAACCCAAATGGAAGAAAAAAATTTGTGCAATGTTTCATTGATTTCTTAGTCAAATGTTTGATGCTTTTAGCAAAGAATAGAATGCAAACACCAGTTTGAACTAGGGCTACACAATATATCACAAATGTGTCATCATCACTTTATCAGCATGTGCAAAACGCATATCACAAAGAACAGAAACAACCCCAATGAATGCTCAGCTCAAATGTTTGCTACACTTAATGCATTTTGACAGTCAAGCAGAAGCTTGAAGGTTTTGACAAGTCAAATGGAGCCCTTCACCCATTTGGCCAATCAGGAGGGCACTTAATTTGGATGGCCAGCAAACACCTGAGTTAGCTTTGTTCTGCTCTTTGTGCAGATTCTGCTTTTCCCAAGATCCACTGATTGCCTTTATTTGTTCATTTTATTTTTTCCCCTTCCTCACATCTTTTGATCACAATTTTAGCATTTTCTATTTTTTTATATTTTGTAGTCATTTTTATGTTTTAATTTCTTTTTTTTTTTTTGCCCTTCAGTTAAGCATTTATTTATTGCAAGTCATATCGTCATCACAATATTAATCACTGTTTTCGTGTATCGCAGGTTTTCCTAATATCGTGCCGTTTGAGTAGAAGTTTAAAAAAGGAAAATGAAGAATAAAGGACATCTATGGATCATAAAAACCCACTGGTGTAAGCAGCAGTCAGATTTATATATGTTTCCCTGAAAATTTTGATGCTGCTTCATATTAGTTGTAGTCTCTAGTCATTATGGAGCTAAATCTGCTGTCAAAGATCCTGATACACTTCACAACCACTGACCTCATGCTCATGACCTACATGAAAATGTAAGACTCTATAACTGCATGAACCTAACTTATCAGAATGGCAAAACATTTATTATTATTAAAAAATCATAACAAAGGATAGTTATAATAATAATTTTTGCACAATCAGTTAATAATTTCCAATAAATGACAAATAAACCTAATTGTTCAACTTATTTTATCATGATGTTTTATTTCAGTCCCGAGTGCTTAAATCAGAAGCAGAATTAACCATTTACAGGAAAAGTTTTGCAACTTTTGTCATGTATTCAAATGCTCTTGTGTTGCACTTAAAATTATTTCCAATACTTAATTAAAAGCGGACTAGAGACTACTGAAGCTGCAAGCTTGTGCAGTTCACTTTAAATGCAGCAGAGCCACTCTCACTAGAGACATGCTAACAGCAAGGATGCTGCTGCTTTGAAGATTTTTGGACGTAAAGGTAAACCAAACTGTGTCCATTATTGTCTCTGAACATTAACTAATAAAAATAGAAGAACACGTGTTTTCACTATGATTTCTGAGGATGCAATGAAGACAATGTTTCCAGATCTTGCAATGTTTGATTTGATTTTGATGCATGAACCAATTAAGTCAAATGTTTAAGGGAAACATTTAGCTTTAAAATGCAGGACGAACACAGGGCCAGCTTTGTGGACTGGAACCAAGATCAAAGACTCACTTTGATATTTCATGACCTTAATGAACAACAACAAAAAAAAGTATACAGCAATCAGTACAGCATAAAGGACACATGTAAACAAAAAACAAGCCACATGAGACAAATCCAGTTGGGCAGACAGTTTTCTGATTGGTTTGTAATAAAGGTGATCAATGAAGCTGCCGTTCAGAGGCAGTGCGGCAAATCAGCTCTCATCAAAACACCTACCAAGCCACAAGTAACTGTTCTTTGATGTGGAACTGCATGCATGCCACAGCAGGCCTGCATGATCTCAGACAGCCTCAACCCAATTTGTCAACACTTGTCTTTTTTTTCTTTTATTGCTCTCGATAAACAAAAGCACTCAAAGAGAAACACATCTATGACGGGATCAAAGGAACACAAAGCTTCATGGTCACTCGCCTCTGCTGAGAAGCTGCAAGTTGCGAACCTCTTCTCTGACTTGCAGCTGGAGGACTTGCTGGAGGACCTCCTGTCTTAGAGTGTCCTGCACGATTCCCATCCTCTCCAGCTTCTCCCCGTTTAAACGCAGCAACGCCCGTCCTGCCAGAGAAGACAGTGAGTTAGTATTAGAAGTCGATATAGACTTCCAGTTGTCTTTTTTCCTGCTTTGTCTTTTTACTTTTTAGGCATTTTTTAGAACAATTAGCCAAAATGACCCACACCTAGGGGGCTTCATGTAGCAATGTATGATCAAATACCCCCAAACACCAGAGAACATAGTTAAAAACTGTGTTGAATAAATGTCTTTGGAACAACACGACAGGAAGTTGCTGCTGCTAAATGGTTCTGCTAAGACACTTTCGTTCTTTGATAGAACATTTCTGTTTGTCTTGTTTTTCTTTGCTTTTACTGTATAATTGTTGATCATTCCTTTATTAGTTTTGCTTATGTGAGATTGAATTAATGCAATTTTAGAAACAACGGGAGAGAAAAATAATCAACCCCATTCCCCACACCCCCATACCTTTCATTATATCCTTAAAGGTTCCATATCAGGAAAAATCTACATTTTTGAGCTTTTTACCATATGATTATGTCATTTCCTGACAAGAAATACGTCCAAACTGATTTTTTGGCAGCATTCATGCATTTTCCTGCCTTAGCTTAAACTTTTTTGTATTAAAGCTAAAGCATGCGGACGGGACAAAGTAGCCCAAGTGTGTCATCAGGCCCTGCGGTTGATTTCATGAGTTTGATTTCACAAATGAGTGCTTTAAACCTCCACAACACATCGTCATAAAAAACATGCATCCTGTCTATAAAGATGCATGCAGGCCAGCACAGGACGTGTCTTAGGTGACGTTAGTTTTATAACAGACTTGGTAGCCTAACAGTTAGAGGAACTACCTGGCATTGTGTTTTGCACCTTCCTGTCTCAACATAAATGATTCTTTTCTTTTGCCAGTATTATGTTTTCAAACCTTTATTGGTAAACTGTTTAAACTATAAGGACTACATTGTTTTTTCTTTATTTGTTTATTTAGCCAGTGTGAGTCCATGTGAGCAGAGCATAGTAAATGAATTAAATGCTGCTTGGAAATGATCAAATTCAAAGATATTTAGAGACACTGAATATTTTGCAGAAAATAACCAATAACACTAAAATATAAAAATATGAAATCTGCTTCAGCTGGCTAAACAAATGACTGCAGACACCAAGAGTCGAACCACCATCAAGACATGGTTGGACTACTAATACAGCAGCTAAAAAGCCTAAGACGCTGTTGTGGGCGGAGCTTCACTAAAACAAACTGTTTCATTCAGGTTGAATTTTTACAAGTAATACTGACAAAGGAAATGAAAAACTTATGTCATCGTCAATTATCTATTTTTGTGCTGTGGACAAACAGTCTTTTAAAGCATTTTCTAGTGAAACTCTGTATTAGTTCACACTTATCTTATGAATATAAAACTTCAAATACATTAAACCTATTAATGTTTTCATGAGTTATCTGCCCCGTTCTGTTTAGAGTTTTTGTACTTTGTAGCTTATCTTTGAGAGTCTACACGCCCAAAAGGAATAAAACAATGATTATCTCATAAGCTCATCTGATCTTTACAGAATAAAATGAGGAAAACTGAGGAGTTAGCTTTTGAAAATGTTATTTTGCTATACAAAGTAAAAGCTCCTCGCTTGTAATATTCATGACTGAGGAAATGGCCATTAAATGATGCCTCAAATTACTGAGTATTAAATTAAAGCCTCTTGGCAAGTTGTTAGTAAAAAAATTGAAATACAGAGCTGTGCACCAGAGTGGATAAAACATTGAGTCTATGTTCCTTGGGTAAAAACTCAAATGACGAAAATGAAATTTAAAATTGCTTTTAGGAGGTCTGCATTTGTTTGTGCAAAAAGAAGATGTAAGCGAGTTTACGATGAACATTTATGATTCTAAGACATGGTCATTTTTTATGAGCTTGTACATTTACAGCCTAATTTACAAAAATGTTTCAGGAGTTTATTTCCTACTTAGCCCTGCAACCTTCCCTACACCTCCCATTGAGTCAGTGCCTATTATGCAGCCAAGTTTTACTGCAGAGTTTTGCAGTATACTATCTGGGCACACACATTTAACATGCCATTGCCCAAAGAAAACAGCTTTAAAATCAAGCTGCACTTACACAAGCACAGAGGCAGCACGAGACGCCCATATGCATGGGGATGCAGACAAACAGTGACTCCCATGTGGCTGGGAGAACTACAGTGTGTCCTTCAGTGGTGCAGAAAGAGAAGGAATCTATCATACCTGCAAGAAGGTCTGTACGACACCCAAAGCATAATTTGACTCATTACTCATGCAGTTCCCTCCCCATTTCAATCTATTCTTCCAGTTTCCTTGATCCAAATATCAGAACACTCCCTACATATTTATAAGCAGTTCATTGTAAGGTGTATTAAACAGCCTTCCTGGTCCTTCTCTCTGTTTTCTGTCCTCACACACACCTTTTTGGTCATAACTCAAACCCGAGCAGCAGGAAAACATGTCTGTGGTCTGAATATGTTCCTAATTGTGTTCTTTGATCTTCAGGCCCATGGTGGAGGCTTTAAAGTGGTGACGCCCTTTGTGTGTTTAATTGTATGGAGTTGACAAACTCTCTTATGAATCAAACAGCTCTAGCCTCTTTATAACCAGATGGCCTGAAACAATACAGACAATAGTTAACTCTGATGAGCCGGAGCTCCGCTCCCTTAGAGAAACTAATTAGCTTTCATAATTGTTGAGTGATTGGTGTGTTTGTGCCTTTCTGAACGCGTGCTGTTTAAAGGATAATTTGCTTCCCTTTAGGAGCTCAGCCACTCAAACAGATTAACACTATTTTGTTTGAACACATCCAGCTTTGGGACAAAAAAATATATACAAGTTTAATAATTTCACTACTTCTCTAAACACAAATCTGCTAATTTCTGCGTGTGTTCGTAAACATCTCCTACTCATCGCCACAGAGACCTGATCTCGTTTGTGCCTGCCAGCAGCATCAGCAGCAGCAGCGTGTCCTAGAAAAGCCCCTGCCCTTGCTCGGTGAGGGTATGTGTGTGTGTGTATAGATGTGTGTGTGTGTGTGTGTGTGTGTGTGTGTGTGTGTGTGTGTGTGTGTGTGTTTGTGTGAACAGATTGAGACAAAAGAGATGAATGGAGCTCAAATCAATTCCCCTCAGACGGACTTAATGTAGCTCCTAATAATTGCCTAAAGATGGGCAAAGTATGCTGTCAAAAGGAAGAAAAAAGATACAAAAACAAAAGCCATTCCAGGGGAGATCACTTTCTCTCAATTTGGCCCCAAAATAAATAGCTTATTAATGATGTCTGTGGGCAAATGGGAAGCAATTTTACCTTGGCTAGAACAATAATGACTCTTAAAGAAGTCGGGAAAGCAATTCGAAGGAAGGAAAGTCAGGACTTCCTTAAGAAAAACTAATCTGTAGTTTGTGACTTTGACATAAACTTATCTCAGTTAGTTTAAGCCTAAACTAAAGGATTTCATGTTTGAAATCTCGCTTAACAACGCAAAAGAGAATGACTGTGAACACACTCAATGCTCATGTAAAAGGCTAATTTGAGTTGTTTGCTGGAAACTTTTCTGCTGAACAACTTGATAGATTTAAAAGAAATTCACTTAAAGCTCGTCTACAACTGGTTAAGTTTGGGATCCAACCCAATTCAAGATGGCTGCCATTGATAAACCAGAGCTGGCAAACACAGTACTAGCCACATTTTGGATACTGAGTTCAACTCTGATGAGGGACCCATTCCGAGCACACACTCTGATAACAGATTAAACATTAGCTTGATTGTAACTTTTAAAATACTTTCATGTATTCATCAGCCTTTAAATATTTCTTATACTGCTCACCCTTTAATTTAGTCATTTTTTTTCTTAAATCTGAAATTACAGGTGCTGGCCAGTAAATTAGAATATCATCAAAAGGTTGAAAATATTTCAGTAATTCCATTCAAAACGTGAAACTTGTACATTATATTCATGCAATGCACACAGACCAATGTATTTCCAATGTTCATTACATTTAAATTTGATATTTATAGGTGACAACCAATGAAAACATCAAATCTGGTATCTCAGAAAATTAGAATATTCTAAAGGCCAATGAAAAAATGTTTGTTTCTCTAATGTTGGCCAACTGAAAAGAATGAACATGAAAAGAATGTGCATGTATAGCACTCAATACTTAGTCGGGGCTCCTTTTGCCTCAATAACTGCAGTAATGCGGCGTGGCATGGACTCGATCAGTCTGTGGCACTGCTCAGGTGTTATGAGAGCCCAGGTTGCTCTGATAGTCGTCTTCAGCTCCTCTGCATTGTTGGGTCTAGCGTATTGCATCCTCCGCTTCACAATACTCCATAGATTTTCTATGGGGTTAAGGTCAGGCGAGTTTGCTGGCCAATCAAGGACAGGGATACCATGGTCCTTGAACCAGGTGCTGGTGGTTTTGGCACTGTGTGCAGGTGCCAAGTCCTGTTGAAAGGTGAAGTCTGCATCCCCATAAAGTTGGTCAGCAGCAGGAAGCATGAAGTGCTCTAAAACTTCCTGGTAGACGGCTGCATTGACCCTGGACCTCAGGAAACAGAGTGGGCCAACACCGGCAGATGACATGGCACCCCACACCATCACTGACGGTGGAAACTTTACACTGGACCTCATGCAACGTGGATTCTGTGCTTCTCCGCTCTTCCTCCAGACTCTGGGTCCTTGATTTCCAAAGGAAATGCAGAACTTGCTTTCATCAGAAAACATAACTTTGGACCACTCAGCATCAGTCCAGTCCTTTTTGTCCTTGGCCCAGGCGAGACGCTTCTTGCGCTGTTTCTTGTTCAAGAGTGGCTTGACACACGGAATGCGACACCTGAATCCCATGTCTTTCATGAGTCTCCTCGTGGTGGTTCTTGAAGCGCTGACTCCAGCTGCAGTCCACTCTTTGTGGATCTCCCCCACATTTTTGAATGGGTTTGTCGTCACAATTCTCTGCAGGGTGCGGTTATCCCTAGAGCTTGTACACTTTTTTCTACCACATTTTTTCCGTC